CCCTCCCATGCTAATGTAATGATGATAAGTAACTACTTGATCCGTGAAGCGATTATGTGGGTGTGTCATTCTAAAGCGTAATTTGTATGGCTAGAAAATTGTGTCACATGACTTGATAGTAAATAAATAAACAGGTGCATGCTGGTATGCCACCGTTGCGTATTTTGCAATAATCGTGAGAAAAAAAATGTCTGTATTATGATAAATATAATTATTATTATTTTGAAAAAAAACCCCAAGAAATTAAGAGGATCGGCTGGAAAATTCATAGGCTGACCAAGATACTCTCATGGAATGTGATCAAATTAGGTTTATTTTTCAATAGTCCCTGTTGCGGTACATACATTTCTTCTATCAGTGTTGCAATGCTTGGATACCATTGGTGAAGAAGATTTCATTCTGTTGGTCAAAAGATTCATCATCACTGTGATACTGGTTCCCAGACAAGTGTTGGGGAACAAATGATAGTCATCTGCGGCCAAATCAAGAGAATAGGGAGGGTGATCAACCAGCTCAAAGCCATAGTCCTGCGCGGCACATGTTAAAACTAAGGACTTGTGTGCTGATAAAACAAAACTAGTTTCACCTGTTTTCCTGGGCGTTTGACCATAAAAGCCTTTCGTAACTGCTTCAGCAACTTGGCACAGTAATCTCCATTGACGGTGTGACCTTCTTGAAAATAATTAATAAACACATGCTTTTGCATCCAAAAAACTGAGGCCATTACCTTCCCTGAAGATGAAACGACCTCGGCCTTCTTTTGAGCAGGTAAAGAAGGGTGTTTCCATTGTATGCATTGTCTCTTTGTCTCTAGCTCCCAGCACACAGGAAACATTCAAGGAAACCAGCTAGAGTTGCCTCAAACAATGTCAGATTTTCTCGTTAACTGATCAGCCTGGTGCGCTTTTGATCAGGTGTTAGAAGACGTGACACCCACCGAGCAAAAACCTTTGTCATGGAAAGTTCATTGTACAGAATATTCTCAACTCCTTTACAAGATATGCCATGAGCATTGACTAGTTGTTTTTTAACCAATCACTTGTCATCCATCACCATGTGGTAAACACGATCAATGTTTTTCTTGGTGGCGGCAGACTTTGGGCTATCATCGGGTCTCTCCCTTCGCCTCTGAAATTACTGCTGATAAAGCTAAAGCATCATTCCCTAATATAGCAGAAATGTCAGCATGAATATCCTTAGGGGATAAATCTTTTTATGCAGGTACTTAATAACGCCACGTTGCCAAATTTTGTCCATTTTCAAGAGAAATCGCTACTCGTTACCTCTGAGGTCTTCTTTGAACAGTCTAATGTCAGTTTACATGTAAAGTGACAATGTAGTTATTAAGAAGAAGAGTTGAAATTAATGCATGTAAGCTATCACAACTCTAACATCACTCCCTGAAAATCAGCCTATGAACTTTTCAACTCATCATCTTAAATGAACAAAAACAAGGCATCCATACTTTATGTTACTTCAATAAACATAGATAAACGTGACCGAAAGAAGACGTAATCTCAAAAGGACGGTTTTTCCCATGTCACCGCTTTTTTTAACTACTTTACGCAATGTTTGTTGTTTTAAAAAGCGATGATTTTTACTACAGTCACCATAATACCTCAGAGTCTCTATGAAGTTCGAAATAGTTCCCATATGTAAAATTTGTCGATTTGGCGGGAAGAATAAATAGATACTATAAAGGAAAGTTCATCAAAATAATTACCATGAAAGTATTTATAGAAAAGAAAAGCATTGCTGGGCATCATTTACTGACGCTCAAAAAGAACTTTTCATTGTAGCAAATGAACAGAAAGGAGGCATCCATACTTTATATTACTTCAAGAAACATAGATAAACGGGCCCGCAAGAAGACGTACTCTCAAAAGGACGGTTTTTTCTTATGTCACTGCTTTTTTAACTACTTCTCGGCAATGTTTTAAAAAGCGATGATTAGAATTGGAATAAAACCTAAACATATGAAAGTAAATTTATACATTTTTTTTGGTTCTTGATAATTGACAACAGAAATAATAAACATTATTTATTAGTATTTACACTATTTAAATTTGGACTATTGTCCTCATCTTTGGTGTTTTTAATACAACGTTTTGGCCTGAATCAGGAATTATCATTATTTACATTATTATATTGTTTATTGGAATGGTTGGCAAAACATCGGTTAATTTCCATTTGATTCGAACTTTATAAAATGGTAAATAATAAGGATTTCCTTATAGTTGGTTCACATATTTTAATAATTTTAATACAACAACAACAGCAGCAACAGCAACAACAACAAAAACAATAACAACAATAATAATAATAATAATAATAATAATAATAATAATAAGAAGAAGAAGAAGAAGAAGAAGAAAGAAGGAAAGAAAGCAGAAAGAATAATTTATACTCCTGAAGTGACTAAAATTTATGCAATTTTAGTCACTTCATGAGTATAAATTATAAACTTGGTAAGCTTGGACCTTCATGCCCGTCAAAAAACAAGTGTCAAAAGGATGTTTTTTTTTCCTTTGAAACCACTATTATTTTAGCAACCTTCACTCTTCGGCAATTGTTTTAAAAAGCGACGATTAGAATTGGAATAAAATCTGAACATATGAAAGTGAATTTATACAGTTTTTTTTTGTTTTTTTTTTGGTCTTGAGAATTGACAGCAAAAATATTAAACCCTATTTATTTATTAGATTGTTTATTTACAAGAATAATTTTATATTTACAACATTCTAAAAACTAATACAATGTGATGTAATATTTATCATTTTGACAGGGACGAACTCCATCTTTGCCGTTATTTAAATAAATATGAATCTCCCTAAGCAAAACGATCGCTGTTATTTTTTATTTATTTATTTATTTATTTTGAATGATCTTTACCTTTGAAAATTCTAATAAATACTGAAATTGGTATAAATTATCACCCCTTGAATGGAAAGGCCTTTAGTACGATATCTGTTTGCATTTCTATTCTAAAAAAAATTAACCTTTTCTTTACTAATTTCTTATTGCGCTTGATCGAAGTCGTATTGTATAATGTGGGTAATAATAATTGTTGCAATAACTTGTATTGCAAATACAAATTAAACAATGCGTAATTAATAATAAAATTGATAATATTGTTACCTCATCTGCTGAACTGCTTTTAAAAGGAATTCAACGGGTTTATAGGTGGTCTAGTATATATTTAATTATTTTACCCTAATCAAGGCCATAAAGTCACGAGGACATTGAGGGTTATAGGGAGTGAAAGAGAAGACGTTAATGAGTAGAAGTGATGAGAGGATAATAAAACGAACACAACGGATTTATAGGTGGTCTAGTCCTAATAATAAAAATTATAATAATGCTCAAATGCTAAACAAATGGATGTGTTAAGGTGTACATGTTTGTCTTACTGAATTATGATGGGCTACAGCAAATATCCGGGTCAATATTAAAGAGTTGCTTGTCAGTTGCCTGGCCTTAACCAGCTGAGCTGATGCCCTGTGCATTGCTGTCCATGGGCGGGAGTAATGTGGAAGCATCATGACTGGTGTTCAGATTATTGTTTATTTTAAATTTGAAGGATGAGGCGACCAAGGCAACTTAGGATTCGCATCTAGATATTCAATCAGGGTCTGTCGGAGCGGACTGAGTTACTCGACCTAAATGTATTTCTAATTGGGTCCCACGTGCAAGACTATGCGACGCTTCAAACAAAACCGGCTAGCAAATTTGGCTGTGATGCATATTTGTACACCAGCGTCATTTTACTGGTGTGCCACTTTTTTAACCACCGACAACAAAAAAGACTCACAACGACAAATAGTAATAATAATAATAATAATAATAATAATAATAAGTGGGCCAATATCTGCACTGGAAAATCTGCAACTTTTACGGAAAGGAAACTGAAAGAAATTGGTATGAACATCGCCTAGACACGCTTACGGAGATAGGACGTGTAACACTTTTATGGAACTGCACAATACACACAGAAAAGTCAAAGCTAACAGCCCTGACGTCGTTATCAGAGACCGCAAACAAAAAAAATTGCCTCCTTATTAATATGGCAGTCCCTGCAGACTGCGATGTATCTTTGAAGATCTTCAAAAAGCTATCAAAATACAAGGACCTTGAAATTGAAATATCAAAAATGTGGCACATGGGAACATCAACAATCCCTATTGTAGTTGGGGCCCTAGCATTAGTTGGGAAAGATTGCAGTAGACTAATTGAAGGGATTCCTGGAAGTCCATGCCTTAACGAAATACAAAAAATCGTTCTCACGACTACAACCCATAACTTACGAAAGGCTTTATCTATGTAAAATATACGTTTCTTTTTGGGGTTTTTTTAATTGCTCAATGGAAAATGTCATGATGCCATTTCTGATCTTAGGTTTCTCGGCGAGACCCGGAAAAAATGAATACACACCAGAAATCAAAGGAAATAAAACAACAACAACAATAATAATAATAATAAGAAGAAGAAGAAGAAGAAGAAGAAAAAGAAGAAGAAAAAAAGAAGAAGAAGAAAAGAAGAAGAAAAAAAAAAGAAGAAAAAAAAGAAGAAAAAGAAAAGAAAAAGAAGAAGAAGAAAAAGAAGAAGAAGAAGAAGAAAAAGAAGAAGAAGAAAAAGAAGAAGAATGATAAGAATAATAATTAGAAATATCCATGAAAATTTCACAGCTTTTCTAATTGAATTTTCTGATTTATCCTAATTTTTAAGGTAATGATTGCTTGCTTGATTTGTTTTTACGGCTTATCAACCTTTTGCAGGCTATTTAAAGTGAAACATACTTTTAGACTATAAGAATTTTTTTAGATAATAATAATTTACTGATACAAGTTCTACTAATTAACCTATAGTTGGGGGAAGAATAGTTTAATTTATACCTTTCCCAATGGTATCTGCGCGTAAGTGAATATAACGAACACGGATGGAATTAGAACTCGGCTCTCCGATATTTAATTCCGAGCCTTTATCTATGACGTACATCCAAGCTTACAGCACTTGGTATTCCCAAGTGACCGTCCATCTAAGTATTGACCAGGCTCGACGTTGCTTAACTTCGGTGATCGTACGAGAAGTAATGTTTCAACATGATATGGCCGTAAGCAAGTTAATGATTAAATACGCTCCTTACGAGTTCTATGACTATAAAATAGCCGTAAAAAAATTCACCCTATTGTATTTTTAACTATTTGAGCATAACAACTTTAACAAAAGATTGCGATAATAATTAAAAGCAGATTGTGGAGTTAACACACTTACTTTCCTAAGAAAAAAAAACAAAAAAAAAGAAAGAAAGAAAGAAAGAAAGAAAGAAAGAAAGAAAGACGCCACTATATGACGCATTCCGAATTTTTCCTATCACCCTTTCTTCCTATTTTGCCTAGACACGCTGTCGAGAAAACGCGTTTCCCATTGGGAAACGCACACACAAAAACACACACACATATACGTATGCGACTTCCTTTTCTCTATGACATCACACGTTTCTCATACACAAACAATTCACTTTTCTTTAAATGTGTTCATGTGTGTTCATTGTTTTGTCACATACATAAAATATCATTGTTTTTGTCTTGTTAATAATCCATTATTGTTTGTATATATATATATATATATATATATATATATATATATATATATATATATATTATAAATTAATTGATTTAAAATATGGTTTTTCCGCTACACAGTTCTAACCATGTTTCAAAAATGGAAGCTAAAAGCCACGAATTTAATTTTGCAATTAAATTAAAGACATTAGTTCCATTTCATCCTCAATCGAATTTTGGAGTAACTTTTAAAATTACTATTTGATTGGACCATATATATATATATATTTGGATGGGCCAAATATGTTAGCTCTATCTCTGATATTGAGCGCTTTCTAATAAGTACCGCGCATATAATATATAAATAAATATATATATATATTTATTTATATTTATACACACACACACACACACACACACACACACACACACACACACACACACATATATATATATATATATATATATATATATATATATATAAAATTAACTGATTTAAAAATATGGTATCATCGTTACACAGGAATTACTACGTTTCAAAAACAGAAACTAACAACTACAAATTCAATTATATAATTAAATTAAAAGCACTAGTTCTGTTTCATTTTCAAGCGAATTTTAGAATAACATATTTTGAAATTTACTGAGTTTTAAAAACGCATACATTAATAATATTTGTTTCCGAGGATACAGAGAAATCCAATCATTTAGACAGGGGCGGTAGCGTGTTCATTTTTATTAACAACTATTGTATCAAATAATAAGAGTTACTTTCGAAAAGAGGTTATGTCTAAGTAGGGCAGGGGTGCCTTTTTCAACGAATTGTGACATGCGTTCAACTCATGTCGTCAGTTTTTTTTAAATTATTTTTTTATATATATATATATATATATATATATATATATATATATATATAGTAAGGTAATGAAGTGCTTGGTAGGCTGTGTGGATAATTCCAAAAAAGGGTGTGATCCAGAGAGCTCAATGTAACGCAACATTAATTCAATAATTAAGATAGAGACAACCTTAATTTATTTCCCCAGAAAAGATATATTTTCTTGCTTCATAGGGTCAGATCTCTAGTTACAAAAGAATTAGTTTTCTTTGAGGGATAGTTTTAAATAAGTAGGGATAAGGTGCCCTAATGATTTTCCAAGCGTAACTTAGATGTGGCACAAGGCCGAAAGTATGGAGCGCCCAGTGAGGATCGGACACACTACTCAGTCGTAATTGTTCTCGTGAGACAAGCTTGCTAACTACTACACCGCCTCGAGGTGCTATAGTGATTTTCCAAGCGTAGCTTAGATGTGCCACAAGGCCGAAAGTATGGAAGACCCAATGATATCGAACTTACTACTCAGTCGTAAATTGTTATAGCGAGACAAGCTTGCTAACCAGACACTGCCTCGAGGTACCCCTCGACTGACAACTATATGTTACGTATTTTGTCGTTAAAACTGGACCGAAAAGACTACACAGGGTCACAGTTTCTCGTGAAATGCCTTTTCTGTTATTCTTTCTTCTATTTTTTTTTTTTTTTTGTTACTAAATTAAGTCGAATATTTTTTTACGTTTCTATATGATTATTACATACTTTTGTTTCCTATTGTTTTTTACTATTATTTATGTCACTGTCAGCATTTTAAAATTAGCATCCAAGATCAAATTCTTTCGAAACATATTATTTTCAGACGTGGTGCTTTCTTGCAGCATTTCTCAGTTTTGACATCTTGCTTCTGAAAAACTGGGTTAGATGTTTTGAAATTAAGTTTGCAAGAGGTTATTCACCCAAGTCAAAATTTGACACGGCGACGTTTCTTTGCTTTTCTTCTTTCTTTTTTTTTTCTCATTTTTGAAAATAGTAAAGTAGACATTTTTAGAATCTTGTTTTGTCTAAATAATGCCCAATTTCCACAGCAAATAGGCGGTGCTGATGAACAGACAGATACTCCATAACCTCCAACCAACACTTGCAAAGCCAAATGTCAATAGATAATGGATGACGGGGGCAGGTTTTGATAGAAATGGAATCTTCTAGTCCTGAACTTGCAGAGTGGCAGCAAATTTTGTCATCGGCGCCATCATGATAAAGGAAGCGGTTAGAACAAATTAAATTCTTAGGTACGAGATAAAGCCGCTGCCACCGACGACCATTTATTTATCTTGCTGACTATTCTATCAGTAAAAACGTGTCCAACCACTAGAAACATGTAAAAGAGTATTAACTTGTCTATGACAGTGAGTGCTGGACGATCTCTTTAAAGATGAAGAGGAGACTTGAAGAAACACAAATGTGGTTCTACAGAAGGATATTGAGAATACCGTGGATCGAACAAAGACGAAGTTTTGGAGAAAATGGAACCAAAAAGGACACTAATACTTAACATCAGGAAGAGACGGTTGTGTTTTCTGTGGATATAATGAGGAAGGAGGGTTAGGAAATTCTGATACTCACGAGAGAGATAGAGGGCAAGAGGAACAGAGTAAAAGAATGTACAACAGAAAGAAAAAAGTTTATTAAAAGCTAGCTACAAGGAACAGGAATTTGTGGAGCGCTTCCATACAAGAATTAGTCTACTTAGTCATCAACGTCATTGTCATAAAGGAAACGATTAGCAAAGAAGAAATTAAATTCTTGGATACGAGATAAAACTGAAGACGACTCGGTAACGAGATTTTAATATTTTTAGCACTGTCAGAAAATAATGTGAATCTTGACTCATCAGAGAAAATGACAGTGGTCCAAAAGGTCACAGTTCCCTCCACCATCTCATGAGCCCAATCCTTTCTGCGTTTGATATTGGCTGGACGGAGAAGTGGTTTCCTTATCGCAACTCTGCCATAGTAACCCAGCTTGTGAAGATACCTGACAGCTGTTCTGGGACTGACATCAACTTGTGTTGCTATGTCAGAGGCCTTGCAATGTGGATCCTGTTCAACATTTCTTTCGACAAGACGCATGGTTCTTTCAGAGGGCCCATGGCGGCCTGGATGAGGTTTTGTGCACTTCTTGCCCTCTCTGGTGAATTTGTACGATCACTCTATTAACAGTAGAAAGGGGTATTGAATGATTTTCAGATATTTTTCTTTTACTAAGACCACCTTCATGTTGGCCCTCGATACGTCCTCGCTGAAATTCGGATAGGTCTGAGGCTCCTTTGGTTCGTGGCATGTTCCAATATTGTTATCTGCAATTTTAATCAAATAATCTAAGTTAATTTGTCTTGGTTATTAAAAAAATCTAAGTTAATTTATCTTGGTTATTAAAAAAATCAGAAATAAAATTTATCTTGGTGTCTATTCAATTCTGTCATGTCTGTGTGTATAATAAATGAAATAAAATAAATAATTATTGCGAATTATATTAAATTATTACGTTATTTTTTTATCATCTTACCGTCCTCTGTCAGAACACTTCTCAGATATTTAAATTTCCGAAACTGCTTGATTTTATTGTTCCTGACCTGTAAATCACATTTCGGGTTCATCCTTTTACTGATGACCAGGCATTCTGTCTTCTTGTAGTTTATGCTTAGTCCTTTCTTCTCGCACACCTTCGATACCTTCTCTAGAAGGTTTTGTAATTTAGTGAGTTGAATACTGATGGGGATAACGTGACTTTGAACATGAATCCCATATAAAATGTTTAATAAGCCAGGGAGATCAGAATGATATTCAGAGTGTTTGAACGATTTGCATCATGGGAGTTTTAAGGCCCAGTACATCAAGAAGCGTGGGGTGAAGAGTTACAACCATTTGATTGCAGTGATAAGAAGTAAAGAAAGTTCAACCTTTTTTTTCTTTCTTTCAGCCACTTATTTTTATATCTGACCTTCGGATGAATAAAGCGAAATTAATCAGTTTCGATATATTCGACCTAGACAGCAAGGCGATTCTTAGAGAACTGGAAATCCTACTAGGATTTACCATTGCCGGCCACGGTCTTAACAACATAAGATACGTAGATGACACAGTACTGATAGCAAACACGGAAAAGAAATTACAAAATCTCCTACAGAAGGTAGCGAGGGAGAGTGAGAAGAAGGGACTAAGTATAAACTACAAAAAAAAAAAAAAAACAGAATGCATTTTCATCAGTAAAAGGATGAACCCAAAATGCAATTTGCAGGTCGGGAACACTAAAATCAAGCAGGTACGGTAGTTTAAATATCTGGGAGGAGTTTTGACGGAGGACGGTAAGTGCGACACTGAGATCAGTAGACGTATTGAGATGGCCAAGGATGCATCCCAAAAGCTGGGCAGAGTATTGCGAGACAGGAAGATTTCTTTGGTAACAAGGAAAAGAATACTGAACTGTTACGTGACATCTGTCCTTCCTTACGGTAAATGCGACACTGAGATCCCTAGACGTATTGGTATGGCCAAGGATGCATCCCAAAAGCTGGGCAGAGTATTGCGAGACAGGAGGATTTCTTTGGTAACAAAGTAAAGAATACTGAACTGTTACGTGACATCTGTACTTCTTTACGGTAAGTGCGACACTGAGATCCCTAGACGTATTGGTATGGCCAACGATGCATCCCAAAAGCTGG